TTGAAGTCGCTCTGCAGGCTTTAGAGGGGAGCACAGGTTATGAGCGCCATCTCGCGGAGGGCGGACACAGATGTGCAGCGACCAAGTCCTCTACAGGGGGAATGGAGAGATAGCCCTTCTCTGCGGCTCCGTCCACAACGCGAAGCGGGGTGGAAGAGTCGGAATGAGTTCTATCAGAGAGCGGAGCGTTCCAGGACTTCATGAGTTCCGCGTGCAGTTCAGGCAGGAAGGGCGCGGCCCGTTTAGTGGCGGGAGTCGAGCGCTGGCGGAAGTAGCTGCCGTCCATACGGTTGATGGTCTGCTCGGGGGGAGGGGACCAATCGAGCCCGAGGCGTTCGACGGCCTGTGAGAGGAGGCGCACTAATTCCTCCTCGATTCCAGCGCGGGTCCCGGAGGATTCTCGGGCCGAGGAGGCGTGAGAACCAGACCATTCCTCACTGTCTGAGGTGAGAAGCGAACATGTTTCCTTGATGTCCGCGGCGTCATCGGAGGCGACAGAGCGGCCACTCGGCGGCAACTGTATGTCCGGAAGCGGCGGAGAAGGAGAGCGGGAGGCGATAGGCTCCGGCGGGATGAACGCTTCTGGCTGGGGTTCCGGCGGCCTCTGAGAGCGGCGTTTCTTCTTCCGCGGCGAAGTCAGAGGCGGCGCGGAAGCAACTTTAGTGGCCTGAAGTCGAGCCCGCAGGGTCGACAACGGCATGTCTTCGCAGAGATCGCAGCCGCCATCGGCGAGGGCGAGCTCAGCGTGCTCCAATCCGAGCCAGAGAGCGCAGATGACGTGGCGGTCTCCAATCTCGAGGGGAGCGCGGCAAGAACCGCAGGAAGATTTACGAGACATCTTTAAAAAGACGCTCGGCTCTTTTAGATACAAAATGTACAGGAAGCTTTTTGTAAAAAGGATACAAATCCGTCGGATGGCGCTAGCTCGCAGGACGGCTGAAGGTGGCGAAGACGGCCGGCTTCCTCAGTCTCCCAGATGCTCGCTAGAGTTGCCTTTTTGATGACGGCGGCTTCTCTCAGGATCAGCAGATGCGTGTAGCCTCGCTGAAGAGATGAAAATCAGAGTTTACAGCCTGGGGACGCTATTTATACTCTCTGACCACGCCCCTTTCGGCGGGCTCTGACGTAATGAGAGCATGTCAGACTCTCATTGGCCGAGAGTTCATTCGCGTCTCCTCATAGGCTTAAGCAGTTCTCTGTGAGCGAACCAATGAGCTGCTAGCTAGCCCGCTCATGGTCTGCTGCAGCTGAACTGCGTTGACAATGGATACAAAATTATAGGATAATTTTTTGGCTTCAATTTCTCAGAAAAGATTAATCTTTCCCGTAGCGTAAGCTAGCTTACGCAATACGAGAGAACCTTTCGTAAGAGAACTGAGATGTGTAGATTCAGCCGTCCCGTCTGTTATAGAAGAAGTAGACAGCGCATTCATTTTAAAAAAGGGAACAGAGAACCGCGATCAAGGCATTTGTTGATCGGAAATATGTTTCTGCCGTCCTTCCTACGGGATTCAGTCTATCCAATTAAGTGCAGAGGCATTTTCTTTCCTGGTTCGGTTGAAACGCCCCATAATCACAGCCCAATGGATCAGTATCAGACTCACATTCTGACTAAAATCCGAGTATGACGACGCCAGGCTAATGACAAACTAATAAAGATCGAGAAACTCCCGCGACTTACACGCTCAATGTTAGAAATAATCTCAGCAGTATAAACATCCAGTATTACATATATAAAGTCAGGAAATAAACTCACTTCTTCAATAACTTTTGTCCTGCACTCAGAGATGCTGCACGGGTGGAAAAAATGCGTCATATTCTGACCGGTCTGTATGCGTAACGGAGAACGCGTCACCAGAGGTGGGTAATCCAGGGGCCAAAGAGTAAAAGTCCTGCCATAAGTTTATTCCAACCATGACCTCAGTCAGCTGATTTCACTAATTAGTTCTGTCTTCTGTCTGAATCAGCAAATCCAGGTGATTGGAACAAAATACTGAGGAGGACTTTTACTTTTGAACCTGGACTTTACACCTCTGGCCACATGTCAGCCAAGAGTAAAGAAATAAACCAGAACTGGATCTTATCGTAGCCAAAATAATCTGTGTATATTAAATTAGAGTAATTGCAACCTTAATAAAGCCTGTTAACAAGCAGAATCACTGAAGGAAAGAAGAGAACAGAAAAAGAGACGAGCAGAAACACAAGAACTACAACTGACTTCAGACACAGCCTTAGATGAAATCCACTGAACAGAAAAGAAGACATTACATCTGAAGATCTCAGCAGAGGAGGAATAAACAACTCCTCAAACAGCATTACCAGCTTCACTTATTACTAACCAGACTGACTTTATTTCTGTCAGAGGTCTGCAGAAGTTTTATTGAGAATTAACAGAAGTTTAACTCCGTTTCATTTAAAGTCACCATAACAGTGATTAGTGTTTCCATTAGTTGGCCTCTTAACTCTTATTTCATCTAATGTCTATATTGGCAGCTATGGCAGTGTGTGTGTTAAACACATTTGCAACAGCAAAGAAAGCTAAAGTGAAATGAGATCAGGAGATGATGGTTTTATAATCATCATGAAATAGACCCAATCACTGAGGTAGGACTGGGCGATATATCGCACGATATTGTTATGCGCATCTCGTCAGCAAAGCCGGTTCCTTGATTAGTAGTAAATCGCCTTCACCTGCTTTCAGATGGAAGATATGATGCAAATATGTGTTAAAGTTAATGAGATAATTAAGTGATTCATTGAGTGATTGAGAATTATTGAAGACACCTGACGTTATCAAGCAGAATCACTGAAGGAGAAAATCACAAATTGTAAGCCACCGTTATGGCGATCAGTGTTTGCTTTAGTTGGACTCTTGACCCTTATTCTTTCACTTTAATTTTGATTTGTCTGCTGTTATTGATTTATAACAGTCAAATGAACAAAGACACGTGTGATCTGATAGTGTTGGTTATGTTTTGGCATAATCATGCTGTGATTTGAAAAATTAAACTTATTGAGATAGTTCGGTTTAACTCGTTAGCAACAGCTTTGTGATTCTACAGCATATGATTATCAGTATTTTTCTTATAATACAAAATATTTCATAAACATTGTTCTGATCAAAACCCTTTTAAATGAATTTAGAAACACAGACATCAATAATCAGCCTGTGAATCTCAACAATGGTTACAATAATAATGCATGTTGCAGTGGCTGCCACCAATCACAACTCATTAATGGCTCCCATCATGCATTGCGGTATGAATAAATTATGATCTGAATTGTCTATGTAATTTACTTTTCCTAATTGAATATTCTGCTCATCACCATTGTTGAGATGCATTGACTGAATCTTGAAGTCTGTGAGTGCCTAAAAGAAAGTTTTTTTTAAAACAACTTTTAAGCAATCCTTTATATTATATCTAAAATTCTGGATATTTATCCAGAATCACAGTTATGCTGTACATAACTGTACAACTGTACAATAAGCTGTACAACCAACAGCATAAATCACAAAAATAATGATCAAATAGTGATTGTCATAATATAACCAACATCATTAGATCACTTTATATCTTTGTTCATCTGGCAGTTATAACTCTGATACAACAGCCAAACAAAATCTAAAGTTATTATTCTAAGGGTCAAGAGCCCAACTAAAGCAAACAATGATCGCCATAACGGTGGCTTACAATTTTAGATTTTCTCCTTTAGATGCTCAATCATCACTCAATTAATAACTTAATTATCTCATTAACTTTAACACTCTTGAGTGTGGACTCATATACACTCCCAGGAGTGTTAATTTAACATTGGAGTTTTTGCTGTGTACAAAGAGCCGTAGTTAACTGACAAGCTGAGCCATATCGCATTAAATGTCGCTGGCGATACGTCCGCGATATTAGTGCGATTCGGCACAGCTTGTCAGTTAACTACGGCTCTTTGTAGTAAATGCCGCTCCATCTGAAAGCAGGTGAAGGCGATTTACTACTAATCAAGGAACCGGCTTTACTGACGAGATGCGCATAACAATATCGTGCGATATATCGCCCAGCCCTATGTGTATGTCAATGTAGGCCAGTTTTTTTTTTTTATGTTTGTTAAAAGACTTATTTGACGAAGTTGAAAAGATTCTCATGCTGCAGATGTGAATATATTAATGGAACAATATAACTGTTGGATTATCAAAACCTCAATGAATCAGTCTATTTCATGATGAGTATAAATCCATCAACAGAAAAACATCATCACCTGATCTCATTTCACTTTAGCTTTCTTTGCTGCTGCAAATGTGTTTGACACACACACTATCACAGGAGCCAAAAAAGACAAAATATATATTAAGAGTTGAGAGCCCAACTAAGGTAAACACTAATCACTGTTATGGTGACTTAAAATTAAACAGTTAAACCTCTGTTAATTCTCAATAAAACTTCTGTAGACGTCTGACAGAAATAAAGTGAGTCTGGTTAGTAATAAGTGAAGCTGGTAATGCTGTTTGTGGAGTTGTTTAATCCTCCTCTGCTGAGATCTTCAGATTTAATGTCTTCTTTTATCTTCAGTGGATTTCATCTAAGACTCTTTGCTCTTGGCTGACATGTGTATAAAGTCCAGGTTCAGAAAGTAAAAGTCCTCCTCAGTATTTTGTTCCAATCACCTGAATTTGCTAATTCAGACAGGAGACAGAACTAATTAGTGAAATCAGCTGACTGAGTTCATGGGTGGAATAAATTTATGGCAGGACTTTTACTCTTTGGCCCCTGGATTACCCACCTCTGCGCGTCACTTACGCCAAAACAGCATCCAATAAATTGTGTGCTACATACTTTCCATGTATTGAGTATTCTACAACATAATACACCCTTAAAAAATATAGAATACAGCAGTAGATAAGACATACAATGTAAATAATTCATAACAACACTGATTCAGTCAGATATTTGTGATTGACAGCTAAAGTGGGCGTGTCTAGAGCGACTGGCCACTCAGGAGGTCGTATGATGATCAAGTGTGAACATCCTCAACACAAAACCAAGCCAAAATACGTACGAAAAGTATCAGATGGATGTTCAGAGAGGAAGAATCCAGGAGTTCAGGATAAATGGGTGGGGAATGGAGATGTTTCTTTATATGACGACACCAGAGCAGGAGTCTTGATGGTGTTTTTTAGAGAGCTGAAAACTGCAGATGCAGGAACATACAGATGTGGAGTGAACTATACTGAGAGCTTCACTGAACTTCAGCTGGACGTCAGAGACGGTGAGGAACCGGATATACTTTTATCTCATATCCAGTATATGGTCTGATTTTGATCTAATTGTTTGTTGCTGAATTTGATTTATTGATTTATTTTTTATAGATGCAAAATATCCAAAGACAAAGACTGAATCTGCTCATCTTGGTGAAGAAGTCAACATCACCTGTCAGATCCCAGAGGAACATAAAGTTCATTTCTGCAAAGATGATGATGATCACATCTGTCAAAATATCAGCACATCTGCAGTGACAGAAATGAGTCCTTCATCTGAGAGAAATGAAGAGAGAGTTTTTACAGTGAGCATCAGTAATGTGAGTGTGAGAGATGCTGGAGTTTACTGGTGTGGAGCAGAAACCAGAGACACACATTTGACTTTCATCTCCCTGACCACCAAAATTCAGCTCAACCTCTTCAGTGAGTGAATTCAGATGATTTCATTGCTGTAAATACAGTATATTCAGAATCATGTGTGTTAAATGTCTGTGTTTGTTTGCAGTGGCTCCAGTAGTGAGACGTGAAGGAGAATCTGCTGAGATCTTCTGCCCTTATGATTCAATCTATAAATCAAAGTCAAAGTCTCTCTGTAAGGGGAAGTGCTCCACTAGAGATAGAAATACTCTCAATGAGACTGTGAGAGAAGAGAAAGACACCAAGACTGACAGATTGACTCTGAATGATGACGTCACTGCAAGTGTCTTCACTGGGACCATCACTGGACTGACAGCAGAGGATGCTGGGAAATACTGGTGTGCAGTGACATTAGAGAGAGACGTGAATTATCTTTACACTCATCTGATCGTCATCATGAACGAGGGTGAGGAAGGTTTATACATCTGAATATGTGAAACTATGGCTGTGAATTGATATTCTTATATTTCTAATATTTCCAGAGCTGAACTTGGCTAAGTATGTATTTGAACTTGACACGCAATAATTTTATAGCATCCCTGCATAACCGACATGCTGTGAAGTAGGGCTGTAGTCAAGACCACCTTTGTCGAGTCCAAGACAAGTCCAAGTACAAAGAGGTTCGAGTCCGAGTCAAGACCGAGTCCAGGACAGGAAAAAAAAGTCTTACAGTATGCATGACATTATCAAGACAATAGTTTGGGGTTATTATTTGTGGATCTAAAAGCAAAAGTGTCACAACACCCAGGATGTTTAAGTATAGATCCCCTATATCCCCCCTTTGATATCATATAATCTTCTAATCTAAAGAAAAGAGAATAATGACACATGGTGATACCTCATAATAACAGTTTTAGAACTGATACAAACACCAACCCACTACTATTACCACTGCTAGGTACTAGTACAGAGCATTTGCGCAACTAAATGACAATATTTCAGATGTAATGTAGTAGTGTAGAAAAGAAGTGACCAGTATTACACTGTAAAAATTAAAACGAATGAATATGTTAAATCTAATCAATTAAAATGAGGCAACAGATTACAAGCAATATTATTAGTTAAATTTAACTAATTAGAATTGAGTAATAAATAACCAAATTAATTCCTTAAAAGTTAATCATTTAAAATGAGTAAAATTTACACATTTTTTTAAACAAAAATATCGGAATAAAAGACTGACGTCAAAGATGAATTAAGAACTCTTTTTTTTAATTACCAATATTGAAGACACCTGATGTTAACAAGCAGAATCACTGAAGGAGAAAAACGTTATTTTTAAGTCACCATTATGGAGATTAGTGTGTGTTTTAGTTGGGCTCTTGACCATTAAATCATTAACTTTAGATTTTGTTTGGTTGATGTACGTGAGTTATAACAGCCAGATGAACAAATAGAAAAGGTGATCTGATGGTGCTGGTTATGTTGTAACATAATCATTATTTCACAATCATTTGACCTGAATCACTGAACTCATATAGAGTCCAATTTAGGTTTGCTTTATTAATTATAGCAGCACTGTCCTTAAACAGCATCATATTTTTAACTTTTTCAATGAAACCAAATGATCAAATCAATAAAAAGAAAACTTCATAAAATATTTTATATAGGCACACAGAATTCAAGAATTCGCGTATGAATCTCAGCAATGGTGACACACAACAGATCACCTCTGAACATAAGCTCATTACTTATTCATGCAGCAATGCATGATGGGAGCCATGAATGAGTTTTGATTGGTGGCACCCAGAATGCACTGCAACATGCTTTATTATTGTCACCATTGTTGAGATTCATAGGTTGATTCTTGATGTCTGTGTGTCTAAAACCTAAATCGAAACAAAACAAATTTTTTTTTTTTTCCTACTTGTGACACGTTTAATAAGTACTTCGGATTATGTTGTAAAAGTTAAAATCATTATACTGTACAAGGACAGTGCTGCAATAATTAATAAAGTAAACCTAACTGGACTCTATATGAGTTCAGTGATTCAGGTCAAATGATTGTGAAATAATGATTATGTTATAACATAACCAACACCATCAAATCAACTTTTCTATTTGTTCATCTGGCTGTTGTAACTTACGTACAGCAGCCAAACAAAATCTAAAGTTAATGATTTAAGGGTCAAGAGCCCAACTAAAGCAAACACTGATCTCCATAATGGTGACTTAAAAATACGTTTTTCTCCTTCAGTGATGTTAAATCACAACCAACATCATCAGATCTCCTTAGTTCATTGTTCATCTGGCTGTTATAACTCATGTACAGCAACCAAACAAAATCTAAAGTTAATAAGTTAATGGTCAAGAGACCAACTAAAACAAATACTTATCTCCATAATGGTGACTTAAACATTCCGGTTTTCTCCTTCAGCGATTCTGCTTGTTAACATCAGGTGTCTTCAATAATGCTCAATCATCACTCAGTTATTCACTTTAATTAACTCATTAGCTCAGAGTTTAATTGGGTCGCTTAAAATGACCAAATTCCATGATGTTGAAGTTACATGAACATATTATGTTTGTTTAACGAAACATAGTTATGTGGAACCGGTGGAACCTGTTTACATAAAAAAGTTAAGTAAAGCCAACATATCAGTTTTTTGAGTGTAGAGAGGAGCAGTTGGGCAGGTGATGGCAGGTCAGCGCGTGAAAGGTTACGCAGGTGGAGTAAAGCAGCCTGAATTTCACTGTGCTCATATGGCATTTCTCAAGCAGATGCTTAGCGGACCGCACTGCACGTTCTGCAAGCCCGTTGGATTGTGGGTAATATGGGCTACTCCAAATGTGCTCAAAGTCCCATGCACGTGCAAAACCAGAAAATTCGCTACATACAAACTGCTGTGCATTATCTGTCATGAGCGTCTGAGGAATGCCATGGATGGCGAAGTGTCTCTTAAGTTTCGCAATTACAGTGACACTTCTCATGTCGGGTAGATGGTCAAGCTCAAACCAAGCAGAGAATGAGTCCCCTGGAACCAAATGCATTTTTCCATGCCATTCAAATATGTCTGCCGCAGTGAACATCCAGGGAAGATCAGGAACATTGTGTGGTTGCATCGGTTCATGTGCTTTGTAACTTTGTAGCGATGGTGGCAGGGCCTGAAGTTAACTTTTTTGGCCACCAGCCACTGTGGCAGGTGGATATAAAAATTCACCTGCTACAGAGACTTTTTACCAGCCTTTTTTTTTTTTTTGGCTCATAGCCTAAAGGTGAAAAACGGGAATTTCACAATATTGTTCTTTAACTTTGTTCACATTTAAGTGCTGTCAAGTTATTAACGAAATCAATATAAGTAATAATAACTCTTAGAATATACATTTTTAAAAAATCTTTTTATTCATTGATTTTGACACACACATGCACAACAGATCTTTAGACCTACCGCAGCTCGTATGTAAACAAATCACCCGCGGCTGTGTTGATGGCTGATTTAGTCACGTAGACAGCTAGGTCCTGACAGCTTTTAGTTACAGCGTTCAGGAACCGTTAAGCAGAACTAAATTAATATTATTATTGGTAAAGTTACCGGGTGCCGGACATTTTCTCACCGGTTCCCAACTCCCAACATGTACTACAGTTGCACACGCACACATCTGTGCAACTGTCATTGTTCTGGAGCCTACGTCAGCGTTACATTATCTCATCCCATCTCACCAACAGTTCAATACTGGCACATCCAAACGTAGTCAGAAAAGGGCCTCATCTTCTTTCTGATCGCATGAACGTTACGAAACAACAGTCGCTGTCATAAATCAGCCGCTCACGAACCTTGCCGTTGTCGCCAATTGACCACTTTGTATTAAAATGTCTTATTTTACTTTTCTTTGACTCATCCTCATCTTTTTGTTGGTTGTTTGTTTCAGCTGGCCTTTTTACCCCAGTAATGTGCCGCCACATTATAGCTAAGGTCCAACGCAATGAAAATGAAAACGTAACAAAAACCCCTAATGAATCACTCAATTCTCAATTCACAAAATGTGGCAGGTATAGATTGACAGTGTTACCCGCCAATAGCAAAATTCACCCGCATTTGGCAGGTGGTCGGGTGTTAATTTCAGGCCCTGGATGGTGGTTTCAGGAGTCTCTGTCCTCGAAAAATCAGTCCATCTTCAACAACAAATTCCTCTCTCATGGAAAAGAATGGGCGGAGATCATGTGGAAGCTCTTTGAAGGAGTTTGGCCAGCCATGCATTATCATGTTAACAAGTCTTTGGCATGTGGGGTCAGATTTTACAACAGTTCGGAGGTCCTCTGTCCGCTCTGATGAGAGAACTTGGAGTGTCATTACCTCTAGCAGGTCATCCGAAAGGGGAGGGTCAGTGGAGGGGAGATGAGCACGTGATAGGGCATCAGCGACAAAGAGTTCCTTGCCCCGTTTGCAAATCACGTTGAGACTGTAACGTTGGAGCTTGAACATCATACTTTGAAGACGTGCTGAGGCGGTGTGTAGCGGCTTTTTTAAGATTGTGATGAGAGGCTGGTGATCTGTTTCCACGGTGACGGGTCGGCCATATATGAAGTCATGAAACTTCTTAGTTGCAAATACTAATGCTAACATTTCCTTCTCGATTTGGGCATACCGAGATTCAGTTGGTGTTAGGGCGCGTGAAGCAAATGCAACAGGAGCGCTCTGCTGAAGACACACAGCGCGCAGTCCATGTTGGGATGCGTCAGCTGAAAGGATGACAGGTTTGGTGACATCAAAGTATTGCAGAACTGGGGGACTGGATACAGCGTCCTTCAGCTTTTGGAAAGCGGCATCCTGCAGCTCATGCCACGACCATTCCACATCCTGCTTCAACAGTGCACGTAGAGGGCCTGTAACGTCACTATAGTGTGGAATGAATTTCGATAAGTAGTTGGTCATACCAAGAAACCGTTGTAAGGCCTGTTTGTCCTCAGGTTTTGGCATTTGGCGGATAGCTGAGGTCTTGTCGGGCTCGGGTTTGACGCCATGTGCAGTAAGGAGATGGCCTATATAAGAAACTGAGGTGACACGAAATTTGCACTTATCAGGGTTTAATTTCATGTTACAGCTGCGAATTTTGTGGAGGACCTGTTTCAGTCGCTCATCATGTTCCTGTAGTGTGCAGCCCCAGACTAGTATGTCATCTACCACAATTTGATATGGTTGTGCATCAAAAAGCTGCTCCATGGATCGCTGGAACACTTCACTGCCAGTGGATATTCCGTAAGGCATGCGCAGGAATCTGTACCTGCCAAAAGGCGTCATGAATGTGGTCAGCTTCGAAGATGGGGAAGGGGATTTGCCAAAGAAGGGGATTTGCCAAAATCCACATTTTGCGTCGAGGATACTGAAAACCTTGGCACCCGGCATGTCAGCGATGACCTGCTCAATAGTTTTCAGTGGATGGTGGGGCCTTAGGAGTGCCTTGTTGAGATGCACTGGATCTATGCAGAT